ATCGTTTATTTAATTAATAAGTTGTTGTAATATTTGTATATAAAAGTAGGAGAAAGCATTATTATGAGTGTAATTTACTGTAAATAACCAGTGTAAAGTTTTGTGCAAATTGTAAATAGTAAATTGGTAAAGTATGAAGCAAAGCTCATTGATTTATCTTCTATAACCTGTAACCACCATATGTAATAGTTACTAAACAAATGAAGCCAGTCGTAACTAGCCGTAAAAAACTGTAGACTATTCTATAGATAGACTATAGATGCTATACTTAGCAAGTAAGCACAGTTAATTATTTCACGTTTCTTTCCATTCGTTACATTATCACACTACCTTGAGCTGCTAAAAATTATAATTTTAGCACTTTAAATAGCGCGCTATAAAAATTTAACACTTAGCGCGCTATGCGAATATAGCAGTTAATCTCATCTCTAGACATAATATCCAACGTTCACCACCTACACCAGATCTTTTATTCTTTACTTTATCCATTTTGCATGAACTTACAACGTCCAATAGAGTAGAAACCCTAACAAACTTAAAATAAAATCTACTGAAGACGCGCTATAATATGTTTATTAATAAGTATAAACACTACAGTATGTCTATAAATGAAATATATCTATAATAAACTTAAGAACACTAGTTTTTAGAGTATTAATAGACTATACTGGATATGTATAGAAAATTTTACTAAAAATAATCAGTTGATCTACAAATGAACTTAAAATAAGTACTGTAAGAGTAAATCTTAAGAGAGATCACACTTCATTAAGTTGTTTGGTATTAAGAAGGTTTTAAAATTTTGACTTGAGTGAAATAAGTCTATAAGAACAATTTCTTTTTTCTAAAACCATTTATAGAGAACTATTATCTAAACCTTTACCATATTAAGACTGTTCATAGATATAATAGTTTTGAGGCGTATAAAGTGTGCTCCTTGGGCATCCTCATTCGCAAGAGCGAAAGAGTGGCATGTATAACTGCCTCACAACCTTGAGCAGTCCCGAAGCCTACCTGTGTTGGTTGAAGATAACCTGTCATTATGTCCCTTACCATTCGACAGCACAGTTTGGCAGTTAGACGACGTATTATGCAGCCTATAGCTATCGGCCTAACGCCTCCGTCCTTCTTTGAAAGGGCACAAAGAGAAGCTCCATACAAATAAGGGCATACCATAGGGTTGAAAGATCCCTTTAACAAGAAATTACATAAATTCGTTATGGATTCTAGCAATCGAGAACCATTGCTACCGGCTGAAGGAGATGTCAATTTCTTGAGATGCTGTGGGCGCAAGCCATCCAAACCAGATGCGGACCCATCACAAAAGGAACTTATAGCATCTGTCATTTCAACAGGTGTCACAGGTATCGGACCACTTGAACCATCTGGTCCCGGAGGAAACACAAGCGGCATAGTAGGGATTGGATGTTTCTCCCGTAAAGATCTAAAAGTCTCCTCAATCGAAGGAGCTACCGACGAGTCCGATAAAAGTAGGCAGACTGCACCCCTCAAATCACCGTCGTAAACCATGGTCTCTATGCTCTTGACAAAGACATTGGCTTACGACCAGCACTTTCGGGGATGTATAATGCTGTACTAGCCACATTATTCTTCACCTTAGCAGTTAAAGACTTGTTAGCACTGATTTCGGGAACCCTAAAAGCAGAAAATGAAAAAGACAACAGGGAAAACCAATCCTCAACACTGTTAGTACACAAGCTATTGTCTATTATGGAGCACAATTTTTCCGCAGCCTGGCTCCTCACACCTTTAGCCGCTCACGCGATACATGGAGGCATGCTGCCACAGAGCTTTGCGCGATTCGTGCGTCTCTGGAAGCGTAGCACGCCTAGAGATGCCGGTGATTATTTTATACCGATTTATCGGATATCGAAGTTATAACAGGTAGAAGAACTAATATTAATTGCTATTTCGATAACTACTCTAGCAAACCATAAAGTTTTCAAAGCCTGGGTCTGTCATTTAAAAAAATAAACAACTTCAAAAATACGTCACGACAATCGTATCAGTGTTATTGTTTGGGCTGGTGATTTCGGTGTTTATTTATTGAAAACATACCGTAAGTAGTCAAATCGCGACGGAGGGAAAATGACTTTTAAAAAGTAATTATAAAATAAAAATGAACATTTCGTTTGATGGTCGATATAAGACTGCTTTATTTTAATTCAATATTCTTACTGCTAAGCCTTATCTACTATAGACTGCAACTGTGCAGTTTTGGGTGCAGGTGCATTTATGATGACCATGCCATCTCTATAGGAGTGAGACTGTGTAACTTCTTCCTCCTTCAGTTCGAAATCATCCGAAGAACAATTTTTTGGAGAATGATTGAGACTTTTGCGAAAACTGCATATGGAAACTGCATATTTGTATAAAATATAAGAAAGAAAACCTATGATTGATATTACGTATATGGTTCCTATGCTAACACTCTCCGTATTCACTACACTAACACTTTGCACTTCACCGTTTTTCAACGTATACGATATGATTTTTAAATTAGTCAGGTAAACTCCATTTAATTTTACAGGGTTGATGTTCCTTTGGATATCAGTCTTCAGGTTTGCAGGGAGCTTTACTAAAGGGAGTTCTGGATATAGTAATTTTTCTCCTTTTAAGGTACCTTGTGAGGTCAACTGCGAACTTCGTGTATATTACCCATCTGTTAAAATGCAGTAGCTCTGCCTTTATTTCTTCAAGTTCTATTGGAATCTGTGTACAGGAAACATCATTCGAATATGTCATCAAATCCAGGATACAGTATCTTCAACAGGAACTATTGTCTGCGTTTCGTCACACAGAAACATTCCATCTTCGACGGCTTTGCACGGCGTGGATAACGAGTTAGCGTTCAACCTCTTCGCAATAAGGTAATTTAGGTAAAATAATTAAGGTAAGGTTTGTTTCAGGGTTGGTGATTGGTAAAGGAACAATTTTGTAATAAAAGTAGGTATCTTTTCTAATTAAAGGTATTTCCATTACAAATATAATTTCATAATTCTTAACATATGATTTTAATACAATTGACTGCTCAATTTTTATTATATTTTCTGGAGTTGAAGGAAATACGAGCTTGTCCGTTCTCTCTATAAGCTTTAGTATCTTTATAAATTCCTGGGTATTAACAACAGATTGATGTAATATTCCGATTCTACTAAACGCTATAATATTTTCAATCTCTTTCAATTAAGCATAAACCATATGAGAGGTCTTTGAAATTTCATTGATTTCTTTACTAATCTTATTAACTGCAGCATCTAATTCTATGAGACTGTTCGTTATGTTTACAGTAGAGTTCGTGAAAATCCTCACCATTTCGGCTAATAGAGTTGTTTTCATTTGTATGGAATGCTGACGAGATTTTACTTCTTTTATCAAATTTTCGTATTTAGGCGTCATCGTGATCCATATTTCCCGTGATAACTTTGATTAAAGATCCCAAAGGAAGGAAAGTCCCCTCTTTTTTCTACTATTAGGAACTAATTGAATGTATTTTTCTAACGTGATATTTAACATATGATTTGCTTGCAACTTTATATCATCAAAATATAATAGAGACCTACTGATATTGGGGTGAGAGCTGACCAGTCTACTTAATTCCTTATAACTATTTATATTTAAATCTAAATTTTCTCTTATAAGCTTAATATCTAAAGTCTTAATTACTATCCACTTATCATAACTAACGAAGGCAGTTCCTTCTCTGACTGGAAGAACGCCAGGATTATTCTCAATCTTTTGAAGTTGAAGAGCCCGGGTCAATACTACCTGGGTCAGTAGCAGGACGAACCTGTGGAGGACGTTGTATGTCTTTAATTGGAACATTAGTATTTCTAGCGCTTGTCTGTACTGAAACTACATTTCTTTAAATTTTACCCTTGATCTTTGCCTTTTGATTACTAGGTTTGTCTTTACTGCAGCGCTTGTTAACACCCCTGAAAAAGATGGTATCATCATCGTTTAAATCAAAAGTAGTTTCTCCTCTTCTATCTTTTTGCACCTGTGCCTTTCTATATACCATTTTGTCAGTTACTCGTAAATATTTGTGTAAGTACCGGGTTCCTTTGCAATGCTCTTTAACTAATTGTTGAGTGTATTCTTTGGCGAAATCTACATTACACTGACTATTACTTTCAGTATGTCCAAATACAACTACGAAAGGTGTATATCTAGTTACTGAGTATATTGTCTGATTGTATGCCTTAACAGCATACGTCATAACTGATGCTGCATCTGGTAATTTTAGTTCGTACTTTGCAAGTCGATATATTTCTAATATAGTGGAATGAAAGTACTTTATCAATCCCATCGAATTGGGGTTGTTAGGGGTGTCTATATGCCCCCCCGACTGTGCTGCCACCTTGTCGTGGTGGGGGGGCTTGCGTGCCCTTTTGATCCCCAAGGCTATATATATATAGCGTTTCGCATACCGGTCAGGCTTGTGGGGGAGGGGCCAGACGAAGAGCGGCACATCCCGCGATGAACCCACTCCCGGTACCATTCTGATCAGCAGAACAGACTGGGATGTGGGAAGCCTGAGGGGGTACCTCAGGTGCCGAGCGTAGTTCTGCGCTCGCTTGATGAGGAAGTGGGCTTCTGTGCTCGTAAGCGCGACGGGTTCCAGCAGCTATGGTGTCATGGCTGTCCGGACAGGCTACGGCCACCGCCGGGCGACCTGTTATCCCGACAGAGTCAACCGACCGACTGGGACCAGGGGGCTTCCCTTAGCTGGTCGGCCCGAGTGGAGTCAACCACAATAAAAAACGCCCAAAGGGGATGTCGTTGGGGCGCCCCTTCACGGGGCCTCGCGCGGCGACGTCACGCCTGCTTCGGCGGGTTGGTAGGCGGGGCATATCGCCTACCCATTAGCGACCATCCCTGGGATACCTCCAGCCCTCCCAGGATGTATTAGGGTTACCCAGGTACAGGGGTCTCTGCCTGGGTGGACTGAATACTTCCCCCATATTCGTGGGAACCATATGGATTACCTAAATAAAAAAAATCTTTTCACACCTGATGGCGTGTCCGAGAAGGACGGTGATAATGCTTCCGAGGGCCTCGGCCCTCAACCGACGAACCAATGGGCGAATACCGGACACGATACTGCTTCTGAAGTGGAGGCGGCTAGTGTAAAAGACAGGCCCCACCAACCGCGGGACAAGCATGGTCGCTTCATCCGCCGACCAAAGTCTCCTGGCCCGGCGAGTGAAGTGGCCCAGTTGTACGTGGACAGCTCCGACGAAGAGATTCTTCGCTCGGATTTCACAAAGCCACAGACAAAAGGACATCGGTTCCCTCCAAACGTGCTCGTGAGGGTGAGGATGAGGCACCGGAACCCAATAGGGCTCCAAAAATCAACACAGCTCGGAGAGGCCGAGCTGTCGGTGTGGGTCACGCTAACACGGGACCTCGCTCTCGTGTGCCCGACGCGGATGGCCCTGGCGGGTCATATAGACCCACGTTCCCCATCCCACGTTCACTAAGTGCGGGGAATCTGGACGTGAGCGCGGGGACGGGCGAAGAGGAGCGATCTCCTGGCCAGGCCGGGGAGGTTGAACTCGAGGGCACAGCGGACCTCATGAGAGAGGTCCTGGCCAAGGAGGCGCGAGACGGCCTCGCGGCAATTTTAGCGGAGACCGCCAAGTCCTCCAACCTCAAGGGGACGATGGCCAAAGCCATAAAAGAGGCCGTCAGAAAGGTGGAGGGAGCCGTCGACGTTCTTCATCGTGGAGAGACAGCGACTGAGGCGGCGCGGCGGATGTCGGAGGACAACCGCCGGATGAGGGGGCAGCTCGCTGCCCTAGAGGCAGAGGTGAAGGCCCTGAGGGGGGCCCACTCCTCCGCCATGGCCAAGGCCAAGGCGCAGGTGGCCCCACCGTCGAGCAGTTCCGCGGAGATGCACGCGGGGGTGAGGGAGGCCATTGACGACCTCAGGCGCGACATATTCACCTCGATGAGGAATATGATGGACGCCCGCCTGAGCGACATCGAAAGGCGCCTCCCCGCGGAGTTCCTAAGACCACCACTGGGCGGCAGAAGAGGATCGTCCGCCGACAAAGCAGTGCCTGCCGCCACCGCCGCTGCAGTCTCTCCCAGGGTGCCTCTCACCGCAGCCGCACTCGAGCCAACACCGGGCCCCTCCCCGGCCCGAAGCGCGCCCGCCGGCCTGCGGCCCAAGAAGACGGCCAAGAAGAACGCCCCCTCGCCGAAGGCTGCTGCCGCCCCTTCTGCGACGGCCAAGAAGAAGGCTTCCCCGCCGAAGGCTGTTGCCGCCCCTCCTGCGGCGGCCCCCGCCGCCTCTGATGCGGCGGCCCCCACGGCCACTGACCAGGCGGCAACGCCCTGGTCGCAAGTAATTAGCTGCAGGGCCAGGAAGGGCAAAAAGACAGCTGCCGGCCCCCAGGCGGCCCCCAAACCCAGGGCGCTCACCACCCCGAAATCATCGGCGGTGGTGATCACCCTGAGGCCTGAAGCGGTGGCGGAAAAGGGGGCCACGTACAAAGGGGTCCTCGAGGCGGCAACCGCGGCTGTGGACTTGGGCAGCCTCGGCATCCCGCACGTGCGGGTGCGGAACACCCAGACGGGTGCCCGCATAATCGAGGTGGCCGGGGCGACCAGCGCTGGGAAGGCCGACACCCTGGCGGCCAAGCTGGAGGAGGTGATCGGGGGGCTGGCGACAGTAACGCGGCCAACCAAAACCGCCGATCTGAGGGTCACCGGCTTAGACGAGTCGGTTACCCCAGAGAAGATCCGGACGGTGGTGGCCGCGAAGGGCCAATGCTCCCCGTCCCTTGTGAGCGTAGGAGCTGTCAGGTTGGCCCCCAATGGAAGAGGGTCAGCACTCGTTCGCTGCTCAGTAGCGGCAGCCCAATTGGTGGCGGCTACCGGCCGCCTGTTGGTGGGGTGGTCCTCTGCCGGGGTTCACGTGATGGAGCCCCTCCCCATGCGCTGCTACAAGTGCATGGGGATTGGCCACACCAGAGCCCTTTGCCCCTCCAATGTGGACAGAAGCGGGCTCTGTTTCAGGTGTGGCCAAACCGGACACTCGGCCTCCGAGTGCACGGCGATCCCGCGGTGCTCCGTCTGCACCGCGACTCGCCGACCAGCGGACCATCTAATGGGCGGGCGATCTTGCGCTCCTCCCCCCACAAAGGGCAAGCCGGCGGGGACCCCAGGCCCCCCACCTGTTGAGGGACAGAGTATGGACGTGTGATGCCAGCACGTCACCACACAATACTGCAGGGCAACCTCAACCACTGCGCCAGGGCACAAGACCTATTGGTCCAGGCTATGGCGGAGTGGGGGGTTGCGGTGGTGGTTGTGGCGGAGCCATACTTTGTCCCCCCACGGGGAAACTGGGCGGGGGATCGGGAGGAGACGGTGGCCATAGTGGCGTCGACTGACGGAAACTCCCCCCCTCTAGTGGTGAAGGAACGCGGGTCAGGGTTCGTGGCGGCGAGGTGGGGAGAAGTCATCCTAATTGGGGTGTACTTCTCTCCAAACCGCTCCCTGGCCCAATTCCAGGCGTTCCTGGAGACCCTAGAGAGGGCGGTGAGGAGGGCAGCTCCGACGCCGGTGTTGGTGTTGGGGGACTTCAACGCCAAGAGCGCGGCGTGGGGTTCTCCGGTCACCAATGCCAGGGGGCCAGAGTTGGAAAATTGGGCGGCAGTCTTAGGGCTAGCCATCCTCAACCGGGGCCATGCCAACACGTGCGTTCGGCGAAATGGGGGGTCAATCGTGGACGTCACGTTTGCGACCCCCTCACTAGCGACGCGAGTATCCGGTTGGCAGGTCCTGGAGGACGAGGAGACCCGAGATCATAAATACATACGGATGAGGGTCTCCCATTCGCCCACGACGGCCTCTAACACGACCCCCGGGGGGGCTTTCCGACATGGGCACTCACCCGCCTGGACCTTGAGTTCGCAGAGGAAGCAGCCATGGTCCAGGCGTGGTGCCCCCCCCCCCCCCACCCCCCCCCCTCACATGGTGCCCCACAGAGCAGACGGGGGGCAGACTGAGGAACCCCCCCCGGAAATCACCGATGGGGAGTTGGAGTGGGCGGTGGGACGGCTGCGAGGGCGGAAGAAGGCTCCCGGCCCGGACGGGGTACCGGGGCGAGTCCTTCGCATTGCCCTGAAGCATCTCGGGACCCGCCTCAAGCATCTCATGGATGACTGCTTGAGGACGGGATTGTTCCCGAGATGCTGGAAGGAGGGAAGGCTCGTCCTGGTGCCCAAGCCGGGCCGACCTGCGGACTCCCCCTCGGGGTTCAGGCCCCTCGTCCTGTTGGACGAGGTGGCAAAGATCCTGGAGCGAATCATCGCCTCCAGGATCAACGAACACCTGAGGGGGACAGGCCCCGATGTGTCGCAGCGGCAGTACGGGTTCAGGGCTGGACTCTCCACCCTGGACGCCCTGGAGTCGCTGCGACACATCGTGGAGGAGGGTAACGGCGAGGGGGAAGGCGTGGTGGCTGTGTCGTTGGACATAGCCAACGCCTTCGGCACTCTCCCCTTCGCTGTTATCAGGGAGGCGCTGAGGTACCATAATATCCCCAGGTACCTCAGCCGTCTGGTGGAGCACTACCTGGAGGACAGGGTGGTGCTCTACCAGACGAGGGAAGGGAGGCGCGCCGAGCGCCCAATGAGGTGCGGAGTACCCCAGGGGTCCGTATTAGGACCACTACTGTGGAACCTGGGGTACGATTGGGTGTTGAGGGGCGCGCTGCTCCCCCGGACGGCGGTCGTCGCGTACGCCGATGACACGCTGGTGGCCGTCCGGGGGACCACCTTCCAGGAGGCGGCTCGAAGAGCCTCAGTAGCGGCGGACATGGTGGTCCGCCGAATACAGCTGCTGGGGCTCGAGGTCGCCGTGCCGAAGACGGATGTGGCCGTCTTCGGCGGGAGGGGTAGAGGTTGGGCGGTGCCGGCAGGCGCCCACATCTCCATCGCGGGAGTATCGGTCCCGGTCAAGTCCCAGATGAAATATCTGGGACTTGTCCTGGACCGGCGATGGAACTTCGGGGAGCATTTCCGGCAACTTGCTCCCCGAATAGTGGGCGCCGCATCGGCGTTGGGCAGGCTCCTGCCCAACCTCGGGAGGCCGGGAGCCCCATGCAGAAGGCTATACACCGGGGTGACTCGGAGTATGGCCTTATACGGGGCTCCCATTTGGAGTGGGGCCATATCAGCGGCGACGAAGGCGCTGCTGAGGAGGCCCCAGAGGGTGGTCGCCCTGCGAATGTGCAGGGCGTACAGGACGGTGGCCTGCGCTGCCGCATGCGTCCTCGCCGGTACTCCGCCATGGGACTTCGAAGCCGAGGTCCTGGCGGAGGTCCGCACCTACCGGCGGGGAATGAGGGACCGAGGCGAGCGACCCGCTCCTCAAGAGGTGGAGCGGGAGCGCCGCCTCGCGGCGCAGCGCATGCGGGACCGGTGGAAAGAGGGCTTGGCGGATCCCCCCTATGGCGCTCGTACCATAGAGGCGATCCGCCCTGTCCTCGTAGAGTGGGTAAACCGGTCCCACGGGCCACTGTCGTACCACCTTGTGCAGGTGCTGACCGGGCACGGCTGCTTCGGTCACTACCTGCACAAGGTGGCGAGGAGGGAACCGTCCCCGTCGTGCCACGAGTGCGGCGCTGCGGATGACACCGCGCAGCACACCCTAGAGGTGTGTAGCCGGTGGGATGAGCAGCGCCGCACTCTGACGGGGACTGTAGGGCAGGACCTCTCGCTGCCGAGCGTGGTTGCCGCCATGCTCGATAGCGAGGAGTCCTGGGAG